ATCCTCAGATATGCCCACACTTCTGCTGCAGGCATGTGAGGTGGTTCCTCCAAAAATGCATTTTACTGGCCCTGTCAGGAGAGGCAGCACAGCCTTTCTTGCAGCCATGCAGTGGTCTGTCTTACTTATATCTCAAGCTGGGCCCAAGGCAGGAATATTTAAATGCCAGCCTGGCACTTTTGCCTGTGCTCAGGCTGTATTTAGTGGTACCTGTTTGTGCAAAAGAGGGAGTTCTTAGCTTGCTACCACAGCCTTGTTGCCATTCCTCACTCTCCATCTCCTAGAGAAGAAGCTCAGAGATTTACACCAAGCTTTTGCCTACTGGGAAAAATAATCAGTAGACCCTTAGTGTGAGATACTGTGTTCCACTTTACCATGTGTTAAGGTGTCCATTCCCAATGTCAACTTTGTTGCTGAAATAGCCACAACCATGTTTCGTATTATCTATCCTTCCTGCTACAACTAGAGCAAAAGTCTGGATCTTCCTCCTACTTTTGCCTCAGCCTTTTTGCAGGACCGACTCAGTGTGTTGTGTGTAGCCAGTGCTGCTTTTCCAGAGGTGAAGTTGTCTAATCTGTTGGAATATTTGGCTCCCGGAAGAAAATCCATCTTTCTGACATCACTGGGATGGGAGAGGAAGCTGAAGCTGTGTGTGGGCAGACAGCTGACTAAGCTAGAGGAAGATTAAAGTGGGGAAGAACTGAATTAGGTTTTGTTTCATTTAAAGGATATGCACAAATCAGAGCTCCTTTTAATTCTTTTTTTTGGGGGGGCAGCTAGATCTCTGCTACAACAATTGTACTTTGATTATTTTCCAGGCTTTAATGATGGTCTCACAGCACCCACTGCCATTGCTTTAACTTCTACCAGTCAGTACTGCTGTGAAAACAGTGGGCGTAAATTTGGCGGGCCAAATATTTTCGTGTCTGTTCTTCAGTCTGTAACTTGAATACCAACACCTACGCAACCTGTGTTTCTTTGTGCCTGAGGAGAAAAGTGTTTATTATATCAGCTGAGAGCACTAGCCCATGCACTGAGTATTGGTCTATATACCCTAGTATTAAAAAAAGCTAAATATTCCGTAATAACATCTTGCTGCTGATTTCTTCTATCCTAGGAACTAAGGGGTAATGGTTTTAAACTAAACAAAAGTAGATTTAGACTAGATAAAAGGAAGAAATTTTTTACAGTGAGGGTGGTGAAACACTGGAGCAGGTTGCCCAGAGAGGTGCTAGAAGCCCCATCCCTGGCAACATTCAAAGGCCAGGTTGGATGAGGCTCTGAGCAACCTGATCTAGTTGAAGATTTCCCTGCTCACTGCAGGTGGGGTGGACTAGATAACCTGTAAAAGTCTCTTCCATCCTAAAACATTCTGTTATTCTATTTAAATATTGATGTTCCCAAATCCTGAAGTGTCGGTTACACCTACTCTTTAGGAGAGCCACTGCATGGTACAACTAATAACTCACATCCTTCTGCATCCAGTGGACTCACTGTAGACCTCAGGAAAGATTCTGCAGAGATAAGCATGATGCACTTCCCTGCCAATGTAAACCATGTACGTATGTGATACTTGGCATGTTAATTTAAGTGTGTGCAGCAGCTCACCACGATGAGCATTGCTTTTGCTGCATAAGCTTGTGTCTATCTTGTAAATCATAGAATCATAAAATCATAGAATCATTAAGGTTGGAAAAGACCTCTAAGATCATCTGGTCCAACCGTCTACCCAACACTACTATGACCGCTAAACCACATCCCAAAGTGCCACATCTGCATGTTTTTCGAACATTTCCAGGGATGGTGACTCCATCACTTCCCTGAGCAGCCTGTTCCAGTGCCTCACTCCTCTTTCAATAAAGAAATTTTTCCTAATATCTAAGCCTCCACTGGTGCAACTTGAGCCCATTTCCTCTTGTCCTGTAATTAGTAACTTAGGAGAAGAAACCAGGACTCACCTCACTACAACCTCCTTTCAGGTAGTTGTGAAAAGCAATGAGGTCTCCTCTCAAGTCTCCTCCAGACTAAAACCCAGCTCCCTCAGGTGCTCCTCATGAGACTTGCTCTCTAGACCCCTCACCAGCTTCGTTGCCCTACATCTGTTGTGTTGGAGAAGAGCTCATGTAAGGAGGTAGCAGGGCTGGTCTGCTGCTCTCAGGTCCATCTATGCAGTGGGTTTGCTCTCCTTCAGTCTTTTTCAGGGCCCTGCAGGCTCTCAAGGAATCATTTGTCCAGCAAATCGTCACACTTTTTAACAGGCAGAGGTCAGAAAACAGCACTGAAATTTCTGTGAGATTGGGTTTTTCCTTTGTTGTTTATGAGTCTTCAGCATTTTCTTCCCCAAGAAAACCCAAAACAGAAGAGCACAGGAGAAGAAAATAGAGTCTTAAAGCAAAAAAAAATTGAGAATAAAACTTTTACTGTTTTTGTTATCTCTTTTGGAAAAAAAAACCCAACAAAAAAACCCAAACCCTTCTTTCTCTGAATAGCCTTTTTTATAAAATGGAAACAAAATAGTAACAAATATTTATTGTAACAGATTTTTCTGAAGAAACAACTGAAAACGCAATGTTTGGAGTGTTTTCAAACAGCTTCATTGTATATATTTGTATAAATAATACATTTGCCTTTCCCAGCCCCCATTAGTAGCAGTAAGCACATTACATTTCTCTGCTTTGGCAGCTAAAACAGCATGTGTGAAGTACTCGTTGCTGCAGTGTATTGACGTTAAAAATTCTCCTGAGAATACTCTGCACTTTTGTCAGCAATATATCAGGCTAGTGCTTACTGAAGGTCTCAGATTCAAGATACCTCCCGTTCAGTCAGTGCAAAGGAAACCATTAATGTGGAAACTATTGCCCCAAAAGCAAGGAGATCTGGATGGCTGGTGCTGGTTTTTCATCTGCTTTCTGTAGGGTACAGGTCTCTCTAATTTCATCCCTTGGATATGTAATTTTGAAATAACATTTATGTTAGCAGGCTGATTGGCTTTCTAAAGGGGAAGAAGAAAGTAATTGATTTTCAAATTCATTTCTGACTTGCTGAACTAATGTAGTTTTCAAAGGGAGCTAATTAAATCCAATGCCATAAGGGTGGGTTTACAGATAATAACAGAGGTCAAACAGGGAACCTGAGGGATGGTGATCAGAATGAAAATGTCTGAAATATTAAAAAAATGGAGCACAACTGATATTTTGCTGTCAAGCACTCCTTGTGCTTGTAGATTTTGTTTCTACATGCCCATTTATGTTAACTGTGGCACTGTCATAGGATTCTGTGATAGCGCCACAGATGTGTATTTGATAATTTACATTCGACTGTGTGTACGGGATCCGAGCAAAATCAGTGTTTCGTTTTACAGAAGTTTAAGCATTTTACAGACTGAGAGAAAGTCCCAATTTCAGAGTTTTATCTGAAGAACGGGCAAGGGCCACAATCTGTAAGGGAGAAGTGAAGTTCTGCAGGAGTATCTCACTGATCTAGTCATCATCTCTGTCAAGGACCTGGCTTATAAAACATGAAATATGTTAGACTTGAATGTGGAAGCGTGGGGGAGGTCAGGGTCAGAATTCAAGCTGATATGGAAAGCGTAATCTCCCAAAGCAGAAAATAACATTGAGAAGGGACCCCTGTAGGATGCTTCAAACATATAAGGCGATCCTTGTACACTGCTGCAGATTGGGGGCAACTGATTAAGGAACCATCCTGCAGAAATGGTTTTGAGGTAAAGTAAACATTATCCTGGGATTTAAAGAGAATAATGTGTTATAAAATGTGAAATAATATTTCTGCTCAAAGTTAGCCTCAACTGTGTCCAGTTCTGGGCACGTAGCAGCAGTGAAAACATGAAAAATAGAATAGAATAACTCAAGTTGGAAAAGACCCTTGGGATCATCGAGTCCAACCATTAATTACAAAGCTTACCCCTAAACTGTCTTCCTCAATACCCCATCTAAACGACCTTTAAACACCTCCAGGGATGGTGACTCAACCACCTCACTGAGCAGCCTGTTTCCATGTCTGACCACTCTTTCAGTGAAAAATTTTTTCCTAATGTCCAGTCTAAACTTGCCCTGTTGCAGTTTGAAGCCATTCCCTCTTGTTCTGTCGCTAATTACCTGTGAGTAGAGACCAGCACCAGCCTCTCTGCAATGTCCTCTCAGGTAGCTGGAGAGAGTGACTGGACAGTGCACAAATGAGAGCAACAAAAATGGTCAGAGGGCTGAAAAAGGTGCCCATGGAGGAGAGTTGAAAGTGTTGGGGTTGTTTGATCTAGAGAAGTTCCATAAATCTTCAAATACATAAAAGGCCATTGTAAAGATGAAGGGAACAGTTTTTTGAAAGACATACTTGTTTGAAACTGTAGCAAGAAAAAAGTCAGGGGGGAAAGTGTATCTTCAGGTGTTAAAAATAGTGGAACAGATTGCCTGTGGACTTTGGGAACTGTCCAACTCTAAAGACATATAGGAATAGTTTGATTGATCCCCCAGGTTACAGAAACAAAGGTAAAAAATGAAAGATTTTTCTTACCTGGGTAAAAATGAGAGATCGCTGGATTGTGCTTTCATTATTTTTGTAAGAGCTATTGCAGGCTGATGTTCCCCTGGCACCTTTTGTCCAGTTTGCATGGACCCACCTCAGCAGGCAGAGGAGAGATGCCAACATGGAAAGTTTGCACTCAACCGCTTCTCGCCTCTCAATTCGCATCCCAGCTGTGATTCTGTTTGGTGCTGAGTTTTCCAGATAGACAGGTGCCAACAGTTTGAAAAGGGTAAAAGTTTGCTTCTGACTACACTTGGTTCACCTCCTTGTTCCTGGAGAGAGGCTCCTAGCAATGTTTCATACTACACATGTGGAGATTTCAGTCATTTTCTCTATTGGGCTGGTTTGAATTTCTCTCCTTATTTCTTATTGCTGGAGTGGATAGCATGGGTGTCTCTTGCAGAATGGTGACTTGAGTTACAGTGGTTTCTTCTTTCTTCAGGGAGAACGAGGCCTAGATGGGTTCCCTGGAAAGCCGGGTGTGGAAGGGAAACAGGTACGTGGCAAAAAGACGATGAGGGACTTTTCCTTGGAACAAGTGGAAGTTGATTCTAAATCTGAGACTTATCCTGGCTCACTGCTGAGACATGGCAGGAGCCCATTGCATCAGCAGTTTTTGTACTCATTCTAAGGATGTCTGTTTCGTTTTTGTTTGGTTGGTGTTAGAATTAAATTGTAGTGCAGTACACTTAAGGAAAAGCCAATCCCTTAAACATAATAGATTTGACGTTTGCCTTAATTTTCATTAGAGACATTAGGAAGCACATATAAAACTTCTTTAGCTTAAGCCTGATTTTCATACACTTTTTTTCCATCCCACAACATGAAAGGGGGAGAACTGGGTTTAATATATTTGGTTTGTTTTCAGTAAAAAAGGCTTGGAACTATTTACATTTTTAAGACAAAATGAAACCAGCAAATACTCTAAAAGACAGAACGTTTCTGCTGATAAGATGGATAATGCTTTGTCTAAAACTGATATCTGTAGATCCCACAAGATTGCTTTCATTACTCAGGGCATGATACTTAATAAAAGACATCCTTTACTCCAAGGATTTTCTGGTCTAACTATCAAAGGACAGAGTAAGAAGTAAAGGCTAAAATGGTTTGCCAAAAGCCATGAAGCTAATCATTGCCAGCCTTGAGCCTGAACCCTCCAGGCTGCTGCATCTGCATCCTATTCACTAGCCCTTGCTCTTTTCCCCTCTGGAAAGGATCATTTGGAGGGACGGTTTTGCAGTTGCAGAGGTGGAGGAGCTGCACGTCAAATCCTCGGGGTAGTTCACCTTCAGGTGGTCGATCCTGCAGCTCATGCAGACAAAGCTGGGGTCTGACCTGAATATGCTTTACAAGCACGACAGTCACACACTGCCCGAGTGCCTGCTCTTGCTCTTTTAGCAGCCAGAATTTCAATTTTATTTTATTGGGAAGTATTTGTGTTTCCGTATCAGGCGCGTCCTTTGTGTTTTGATGGCAAGGCATAGTGTCATTAAGGAGTCTTAATCTTCATTAAATCTATACCTTCTTCTCTGTGAGGTCATAGACATTATTGCACTAAATGTTCTTCTGCTTCTCCAGCGGGGATCTGACAGTTAATCATTGCTTTCTCTCTGCTTTGCACCTCAGCCAGAGTTTACATTGCTCAGTGTTTGTTGCTCTCTTCATAAGATGGAAATACTTTCTGGTGCTAGATGCAGCACTGGGATTGCATCGAACTATGTTCGCTATGCCCACTACACAGGATTGGTTTGTGTTTGGAGCAAATATACAACGAAGAGTAAGTGAGAAATTGCAGAGACGTGTGAAGGTGGACGCCGATTGTTTACTACTTCTAAGGAACAATTTCTCAAAGTGTCACCCTATTACAGAAACTGGGTTTTTCTGAAGCTTTTTTTTTGCCTTATTCATGTCTAGACACTTAGCAGCGGGCAAATCTTCATGCCTGAATTTTGCGTTTGACACCGATGTACTCCCTGAACTGCAGTCCTGAACCAGCTGAAATTGGATTGCTGTTACCGTGGCTGCTGTGGCATCTCCATCCTTATTCCCCTTCCTCTCTACGCAGCAGAACCGAGGCAGCCTCATATGTTGTATCAGCCCCAACCCCAGTGTAATGGGCTGTAACGTTGACCTGCTCAAGCAGGTCCTGAGGAGGACCACGAAGATGATCGGGGGTTGGAACACCTCCCCTATGAGGACAGGCTGAGAGTTGGGGCTTTGGAGCCTGGAAAAGAGAAGGCTCCAGGGAGACCTTAGGGCAACCTTCCAGTACCTGAAGGAGGCTACAGGAAAGATGATCGTGAAGGTCCCTTCCAGCTCAAACCATTCTATGATTCCGTGGCTTTCTGATAACCATTTGTGCTGCCAATACCCAAACGTGTAGTCTTAAGAGAGTACACTTCAAGGCAATGACAGCTGATAATCTGCAGCATATAATACATAGATTTTTCTCTCTATTTTACCTGTTTATAGGGTCCTCCTGGCAGCCCAGGCCCTCCAGGTGCCAGTGGGACCAAAGGAGTAAAGGTGAGTTGGGATGGGATGCACAGGAGGGCTTTGGACTCACATTTGAAAATTCTTCCATGGGCCCCCAGTACTGGAAATACCAGGACTGTTGGCCTAGTATTTATCTCATTTGTGTCTAAGTGAAGCTTGTAGGTATTTAAGTGTTTATTTTTTTCTGATGTTGCTTCAGTCTGAAATGGGTATAATTGAGTGTTAAATCATGTCTGGTTATATAGCTCCTCTGCTTTCAGTTTAATCCTCATAGTGGGAGTAGAAGGAAATACATAGTAGTCTGGCTCAGGAAACCTGCATTACCTAAGAAAAGTGGATAAAAATGTCAATAAGTTTGTGTTTTCTCACCAAGGAGATGTAGAATCTACTCAGAAAGGGATGATGAAGCAAGTCCAGCCCTCTTACCTATAGAATAATTATTTACTGTTCTTAGCAGCGGTTTTGAACCCCTTATTTTACAGAGTTGTTAGAGTTGACAGGGCAGCTTTACGTTTTCCTCTCTGCTAGAGGCGATGTTGTGGGTTCGATATTTCCTACCCGTTTCTTTGGCATGAGTGGAAAGACATTCCCAGTTCTGAATTTCTCCTCTAGATAAGGCAGTGAGCCTTACCCAAGAATGCAGAGATCAGGAGCAAACCTGTCTATTCCCCTTTGGTTTGCCACTCAGATTCAACAGCTCTAGGTGAGGTTTCAGGAACACCTACAAGCAGGGCTCATCCACTGCGATAATAAGCACCAAGATGTGTGCAGCAGAGAGCAATCTCGAGTTCTTAATGTTTCATCCCATATCTCTAAAGTGGCTACATTTAGTGCTTCCAGACATTGAGCTCCTGGCTCCGTTACATTCAGAGCAGCTGATGTCAGTCTCTTCAGTCTTTCTGACAGAGTATGGACTCTCTTCAGAGTAAATAACAAACAGTAGTGAAACGTGTCTTAAGAGGAAAGAGCATGAGAGATGTGCTGGGTTGTTTGGAGACCTACTTGAGTAATGAATAAATTAAAGTGTGAAAGGAAACTATATGATAATTTTTGCATTGGTCTGTACCTAAAGTAAAGGATACACCTTCTGGATGTCTGGTGATCTAGGGAATCCTGCTCTGGCAGGGGGGTTGGACTAGATGATCTTTCAAAGTTCCTTCCAACCCTTGACATTCTGTAGTCTTAAAGTGTAATAAAGGGTTGATGGTGCTGGAGAAAAATGGGCTGGAACAGATTGATAGCCTAGATGGCAATAAATCATGTAAAGAGGGTGTAGCATCTTTTTGTGTTTGCAGTGTCCTGCAAACTCTTACTGCCCTGTTAAAAGACTTGGGGAAAATGGTACTATTTCTCACTTTTTACTTTTTTGCAAGGATTTTTTGCTCATTAACAAAAAAATGTGGTTTGGCCCCTAAATATCCATCCTGCATGCTTTGTTAGGGATCCAAGCATCAATCAGGTTCATCTGTGTGGTATGTGTACACCTATTTAAAGATTTTTGAAGCTCAGATTTATTGTTGTGGTGCACCTAGTGCATCATTCATCTTAAGTCACTAAATGTCGTTAGAGTCAATGGATAACATCCCAGTGACACAGAACGTAACCAGTTCCTGCACGTGTTCATTTGCAAGGCAGAGAAAAGAGTTAATTGGGATTGCATGTTCAAGTCTTTTAATTATGGGATGTTACTGGAAATAAGAATGTCCAACAGCATTTGGAAAACATGCTCAGAGCTTTGCTTTTGTTTTGTGTTATGTATTGTACTATGTTGTGTTTTGTGCTATGTTTTTTAATTTCTTTCACGTTTCCCCACAGGGTGAACCAGGACTTCCAGGGTTGCCTGGCTCTTCAGTAAGATTTTTTTTTCGGCTTTCTCAAACATTGTAGGCATTATTGCATGAGAAGAGAAAGGTGGAAGCTGGAGGTGGGAGGACTTCACTACATGAGAGATGTTCTTAAATGTTTTTTCCAAAAGAAAATAAGGTTTAAGGCAGTGAAGATTCTTTAAAGTTAAAGGCAAGCGATGAGTTCCAACAAGGAGATGCATGGCCACAGTTTGGGGAGATTTTGAAATGTGAAGATTAAGACTTGAAGAGGCAATGAAAACATTGTCTGAGGTGCCTCCGAGAGAGCAGTACTGTGGCAAGACTGTGAGGTTTCCAGGACAGTTGTGGAGTTGATGCCTAGTGGCCTTTGGAAGTTGAGCCTGTGAAAGTTATAAAGACAAATGACAGTTCAGAATTGAGTTGAATTACTGAGTGTCTTTGTCATGGGCTTGATGTGAGAGTTGGGACAGCGGAAGAAAAAGACAATTTCTGAGGAGGGGGAATGATCTTTCCTTGGCTTGTGTCTGAAAAATTCCTAGTGGACTGTGAGACAACTAGGACTTGATGTGCTGAAATCAGGAAAGCAGTGATAAAAAAGAAAGCAGAAAATAGGAGAGGGTGGGGTTGATCTTTCCCGTGGCAGTACGTTTGCGTGCCTTTGTGCCTCCTTCTGCCTTCAGCAATGCCTTCGGTGACCGCAGAGGTGTCTCTAGCAGGGACATAAGGATTTCCAGATGTTAGCAAGGAGGTTAGTATTGTCCGTATGAAGGGGTCATCTCTGAGTGAATGCAGAAAGACTTACCACAAAACATGCAGAGAAGAGGTCTAGAACTGAGTTCTGCAGGAGCTGGTTACAAAGCAGTTGGAGAGTATTGCTTTTACTATTCAGAAAAAAAAAAGGATTTAAATCAGGAAACAGCACTCTTAGATATTGATAGAAAGCATTAAAGGGCCACTGCCACCAGGAATATTAGGTGTAACACTGTCCATAAAAAAGGACTGGGTGCTACAGAGAAGAAGTGAGAAGCTCCCTGATAATGATTAGAAAGGCACCAGGCAATTTCCTTATCCGGAATGAGGTGGAACGCAAAGTAAGGAGGGGGGAAAAAAAAAAAAAAGGTGTTTCAGTAAGGGCTTTTAACTGTTCTCCTTAAATGTGAAATTGGTGACGTGACAGTAGTTGCCAAGAGACTTTGAAAGATACAAATAGAACCTGAAAATGAGCTGAAGGTTGTAGGAGGTGGGTGGAGAAGGGGCAGAGAAGACTGACAGCTGTCAGTCACAGCCGTGACGGCTTGCACCGAGGAGCTGGAGGAAGGCCTGAGTCATGCATGTTTTGAAAGACAGCCTGCTATTTACATGATGCCTTCTTCATTCAGGGCGACTTCGTAATTTAAAATAAGACAAGAGCCGTCGAATCTGCTGATTCGTAGTGATGAGATAACGAATTAAGTTCTCGCTGTTGTACAGCCACACAATTCGCTTCGTTGGTAACTGAGTGAGCAAACCTTGTGCCAGCCTGAGCACTTTAAATAGAGAGCATCCCCCCAGCTGGAGCGGGGTTTGCAGAGCTGGAGCAGTTGGTGTGGGCATCCCGAGGGAAAGGCTGCGGGGACCCACACCCCTGGCACCTCCCGTGCGGTCCTTCCTCTTTCTCTCCTGTGTGACTCTGCTTCTTCATTGCAGGTGCATACAGAAGGCCTGAAAGGAGAGCAAGTAAGAGAGATTCAGTATCTATTCTTCTGTTGCAAGGATGCTTTTATGTAGTTCAACTGCCTCTTAGTTTAGATTTTGCTTTAAAGTAGCGCTTCAAAAATTAAGGTGAGTAGAAGCATTTCCAGGTCGTAAAGAAGCAAGTTTTTCTAGTTAGAGTGGAGAAAATAAACAAGAAAGGAAAAAAGGCAATATCCTTATCAGGTTGAATCTAACGTGAATGAGAAGTATAAATGGGAGACTCAGCTATGGAATTCTTTTAGCTGAGGGGAGGGTTAATAGGAAAGTTGAACTGTATTTGAGTTTTAAGCTGAGTTTGTCTCTCAACCTGGGCACTCAAATAGGGAAGAAACACCCGTTGTGTCAGCCTGCTAGTCCTATGTATAAATAGAAGGCATTTAAATTTTGATTTTGTGTTGGTAGGTGCAGAATTTGTATTTAACTGTCATTTAATATAGTGATATGCATCATATAAATTATACTTTAAAGGCCCTCACAGCTGTACTGGCTCAGGGGAAATTCCAGTGGAAGCTGATTTTTGCAAGAATTGCTATTCTCCACCACCGAACCCCAACCCACAGTGTTTTATTGGAATATCCAGGATAGCCCAGTGTCTTTGGTAGAGTATCTACTTGGGAAAAACAAAAAGCCAGTAATGGATAAATGCCTGGTGGAGTCTGAACGTGGGTGGATCAGTCTGTGGGCAGTCTAGTGAATGGTGATAATTCAAGTAGCTGAGGGATTAAGGAGAAAACCAGCTGGTTTCTGCACTGGTTCTTCAGGTTCTGTGAGTAAGGGGATTGTGTGGGTCCTGTACAGATACCCAGTATGAGTAATGTGCCCATATATTTTTTCATTCAGATACTTTAATACTCTTTTTATAAAAAAAAAACCCAAACATTTTTGTAGGGAGAGCCTGGGCCACGAGGACCACAAGGCCAGCCTGGACTTCCCGGACCTCCAGTAAGTTGTTTCTCTCACCACTTGCAACTTTTAGAAACTCTGACTTGGAGTGGTGTGAAGCATACATGCAAAATCTTTTACATTATTCAGACTGTAAGATCTTTAGTGATTCCAGCCTCCTGTTTTCTTCACTGCTGAGAGAAGGTGTGCTGGGGGCGGCTACTCTGAACATTTAGAGGTGGCACCCCGGACATCACACAGAGGCAGACTTTGCCTCAAGGCTGTTGTGATGCAGAACCTGATTATTTTTCGAATGCCAACATCCTGAAGAGCTGTATGGGCATTCGACACATCTCAGAGAGGTCCTCACTGTTAACTTGTAAGCTACTGTGTAAAGAAGGTCGGAGAATCTCTGCTGTGAAAGGGATTGGCTTTATGCCACAAGTTCCTGGCTAAAATATTTTGTGGATGCAAAATAAGAATTGAGTATGGGCGTGTATATTGCAACACAATTTTTGTAGCAATTTAGATGTGACAGCATTCTTAATTTTTTGACTGAATGGTTGCTTAGTGTAGTTATAATTTATAAAGCAGCTCTGCAGGATATCTCTGTTCAGATTGTCACTGCTGCAAATACTCTATATTTCCTCACGTTTCAGTTGTGTGTTGTGCTTCACTGTTGATTGGGTTCTGTAAAATTGCTGACATTGTAAAGATGTGCTGCTTAGGTAAATCTGGTTTTAATTATGTAATTTAAAAGTAGTTGTGTGCTCTGTATTTAATCAGGGCATTGTGACTTCTCTCTATCGTTTTCTTATTCTCTTCTGCACACAGGACAACGTAATTATCAGGTAAGAGTTGTCTAGGTAGCTGTGCAGTAACGGTAGCACAAAACCAGCAAGGAAATTGTTATATAGATCATCAGATTTTTTTACTCAGTTAACTTTCTAAAACTTTTCACTTCTAAAGGGAGAAGCTGGTCTGGACGGCAAGCCTGGAGTCCCTGGTTTACCAGGTCAAAGGGTGAGTTGCTGTTTTTATTTCATATAAATCTCAAGAGGCTGTGGACAGCTTTGTTTGATAAGGTTTGGTACTTTTACCCACTTGACATACTTTTCTACTTACATAAGGATTCTAGAGGCGCAGATCCTTTCTTTGGTTATTTCTTTGTGGTCCAGAAACTTTCAGTACCTCTTGCAGTCCGTAGATTGTATGCAGTGCCCTGCAGGACCCTTGGAAAGTGCCTTTCTTCTAATTTCCTCTTCCGTATTTATATCTGCTCCTTGCTGCCAAGAGGATTTGTGATATGGCTCTGAGTATGTACGACCACTAGTGATATGGACCAGTTGAAAATTCAGAGAAATGCTCTCGTCCTGGAAGTCATACTATTATCTACCAGGAGGTTAGATAGTTTCCTCTTATTTAAAAAAACCCAACAATATATATATTAAATTTTCTCTGACTTGGAGTTATGTCTTGAAATATTCAGCTACTGATTTCACAGTGCATCTGGTATTATTTCAGGTGTGGTCTGAACCTGCCCTTCCTTGCTTCATGCTGTTTGTGTGAAGAACATCTCACTAAACAACAGATAAGGGTGGAAATGAGATACCTGTTTAGCCTTTGGGGAGGCAGTCACTTCAGTCTTCAGCCATCAACTGCTGGTTGTTGGGTTACATTTTTAAGTCATCAGAGAGGTCTGATCATAGCTTAAGCCATAGTGTAGGTCATGGGGGTTGCCTGCAATGCTCTGCACTTGAGTCAGCACCAGAGCTGTTACAGGAGTGGGTGTGAGAGCAATGCTTGTGAACATGGGAGCGTTATGGGCAAAGGACAGTATGGGGAAAAAAAACATATGCCTTGCTAGATCGTTTTCTATACCCGTTCCATTGAATTGCATGATATTAAATTGAGCTGTAAGTGTGTCTTTTAGGAATCATCTTTTTGGGGAGACGGGGCATGCAGTCATATGTTAATGCCACAATGCAAAAAGGGCATTTACTTGCTTTCTTGTACTTTTCCAGTCTTCAGAAAATATCGCCTTATCTCTTCAGCAAATGACTGTGCTGTGCTTTACTTATGAGATGACAAGTTCTGAATTGTCCTGGTTTTAAAGCCTGCTCTTAAACATTGTTTCTTGAATAAGATTAATAGAGCGTATTAGCTGGATAAAGGACAGTGATCCATCAGGATCTGCAACAGGACACAAAATGCTCCTTCTAATGATCATTTGATTAGAGATGTCGTTTGATCCATACTGGCTTTGAATATTTCCCTAGACTCTGTTGTGTCTAGCTAGTTAGACTTCTCCTAAGGGTCTCTATTAGTCACCAGGCATCTTAGGTGGATAGATTTTTTTTTTTTTAATTAAAAGCCATTATTCAGTGACTGAATATGTGAGATGAATCAAAATCCTGGGCTTGCTGGATCTACATGGATAACCTACGTGTGGGAGAAAGCACAGATTAGCAGATACTACTGATTCACCATTAGTAAAGTTCTTGACAAAGCACTAATATAAATCCAGGCATTGATTACCGTCTTACATAAATTTGACTGCAGAAAGCAAGTATTTCTCTAGACAGGCTTAGAAGTTAAAATGCCAAGAGCAGAAAACTCAAATGTTTGTCTGAGTCTAGTTTTAAATGACTGGATGTAAGGTGAGGGCAGGCTCTGAAGGCACAGCTCAGAGCTGTCCTGAACCCTCTTGCACATACCCAAACAAGAAGGCTTAGCTGCACAAACACAAGCTCCTGATCTCTTGCACATGGACCTCTGGGCCATTGTAGTTAGCATAGGTGTTACTTATTTCACTATGGTAAGAAAAATCAGATATAGGTAGAGGCAGATTTGGGACCTCTTTTTAACAGACCTGTGTAGAACAGATGAGTGTCACTAACCATCTGCTTGCCTGGTCCCTCTGCTGTTTTATATGAGTGGGTATTCAAGTTATGATGCCGCACAATTTTTTATCTCAGGTCCCTGAGGTATTTTATAAATATTCTGTGCTAATATCTTGTAAGATAAGAGACAGATCACAATGCAAGATGGACCTTCGGACCCTTTCAAGTAGCATACTTCAAAGGGGCTGGAGTGAAACTGGTTTGCAATATGATCCAAGCTCAGTTTTGCATTGTGGTCCTCAACCAAGATGTAAATGAAGTCAGCACATGCACAGAGTCCCTGTCCTGTGACAGGGATGCAGATATGACCTTTTGTTGGAGTTCCTACAAGCGTGCAGTGCTTTAGTTAGCTGTAATGCAGCTGGCACAAACTACTAATGGACTGAAGATGTGTTTGGAACCATTTCATAGAGGAATTTATGTCTCATGATGCAGTCCACTGGAAATGAAGGATCCTGACCTGTGCAAAGTCAGAGGCGATGTTTTCTTGTGTTAGAAACATAAGGCAGGAGCCACCCACGCATTGTGCCTAGATTTCATAGAAGATGACATATTGTGCCAAATACCCTAGTGACAGCTTTTGGCTGATGGGAACAAGGCCATACATCTTGGAAAGATTTCTAGGAAAAGAGGAAGTGTGATGTTCTCTTGGTGTGAAGTTGCTGTTCCTGTTATTGCTGAATAAATAAAAGAATACATGGGATAGTACAGTTGCCAATGAACAAGGACTAGTCTTTAGAAAGTCACCATTTGTGTTGTAGTAAAGAAAGTGTCAGCTTCATTTCTGGCTACTGCAAGTTTAATCTTTTGTCTAAATGCATTCGTTGTACTTTCATCAACATCTTTTTCATCACCCCTGCCTGTAATGCACATTTCGTGGAGCAGAGTCTTCTGCTAATGTGGGGTGCAATCATGGCTGACTAGACAAAGTGGGGTGAAGATGCCCTGTCATCAAGGCTTTTTACAGCCCCAAACTTCTTCTGGATTTAGTGTTACAGATTGCATATGCAAACCATGTTCCAGATTGCTTAAGAACATGCTAAGTCCAAGAACCAGTATAAGCTCAATATTGAGGCCAGCTCTATTTAATAGCAACATGAGCCAGCAGTGTGTACTTGCAACCCGGAGGGCCTTCCGTAGCCTGGGATGCATCAAAAGATGCGTCACCAGCAGGTCGAGGGAGGTGACCCTCTACTCTGCTCCTCTGCTCTGCCCTTGTGAGACCGCGCTTGGAATACTGCGTCCAGCTCTGGACCTCCCAACAAGAGAAAGACATAGGGCATTGGAGCGAGTCCAGAGGAGGGCTACCAAGATGGTCAGAGGGCTGGAGCACCTCTCCTATGAGAACGGGCTGAAAGAGTTGGGCTTGTTCAACCTGGAAAAGAGAAGGCTCCGGGGAGACCTTGTAGTGGCCTGCCAGTACCTGCAGGGGGCTGCAGGAAGGCTGGGGAGGGACTTTTTACAAGGATGCATAGTGATAGGATGAGGGGCAATGGGTGGAAGCTGCAAGAGCGTAGATTTAGACTAGATATGAGGAAGAAGTTCTTTACCCTGAGGGTGGTGAGGCACTGGAACAGGTTTCCCAGATGAGGTTGTGGGTGCTTCATCCTTGGAAGTGTTCAAGGCCAGTCTGGATGGAGCCTTGAGCAACCTGGTCCAGTGGGAGGAGTCCCTGCTATGACAGAGGGGTTAGAACTTGAGGATCTTTAAGGTCCCTTTCAACTCAAATCATTCTGTGATTCTATGATCTGGATGATGGGATCAAGTGCACCCTTAGCAAGTTTGCAGAAGACACCAAGTTGAGCCGGAGCATTGGTCTGCTTGAGGGTAGGAAGACTTTACAGAGGGACCTGGGCAGGCTGGATGGATGGGCTGTAGTGAACTGTCTTGCACACACCCCAACAAGAAGACTCTCAGGCATTGTCTGGTGTGGAGGACATGGATAGGATCATGATGCCTCAGTTTCATTTGTGGCTCCAGCTGTGGCTTGTAAGACTTGCCTTGACTGGATATTAGAAAAAAAATATTTACTGAAAGGGCTGTCAAGCACTGGAAAAGGCTGCCCAGGAAAGTGGTTGTGTGGAGCTATTTAAAAAAAAATGTAGATGTACTTTGTGGCATGGTTTATTGGTAGACCTGGCATTGCTAGGTTAATGGTTGGACTCAGTGATACTAATGGTCTTTTCCAACTTAAATGATCCTCTGATTCTGTTCTACGTGCCCAGTGTCTTAACCACTGTGTCTGAGTTCACCATTCCTAGTGTACAAGTGCAAAAAAAATTCCTCTAAAAAGTACTGTAAAGTTATTTTTGTAGGACTAGTCCTTGCTTTAGTTTTAAAACAGATTCTTTTTTTTTTTTCAGGACAAGAGTAATGAGAGCTTGCCCCTACTTGTAAGGCATGATTAAGAAAAAGCTCAGTGTAACACAGCTCCTTGCCTAAGTTCCTTAATTGTGTGGGTTTTAATTCATTACATATTTACTCTTTCTATAGCTAATACGTAGTGTGTTGCAGGAGACCTATGCACTTCTTTGCTAATCATTTATTTAATATTTGTCCCAAATTTAACTGGTTTAGATATGGACTGCCTATATTTTGACAATTATACCCTCATATCAAGAGCATGCAGTGGGAAGAAAGAAGCTTTGTTGTCCCGTAAGACCTCTGAGTGATAGACAGTACTGTCTATCACATTCTATTAAAACTGACTGAAAAAAGAGGTAGAACTCTGAGGAAGAGGTTTCATTTTAGTGTGGTTTTGTGAGTTTTCTCCCTTTTCCTATTCTCTTCTTTCTTCTGTGAAATAGAAGAGAATTGAAATACTTCGATTCTACTCTGAAGTATTTTGACACCTGATCTACTGAAATGCTTCCTTCAAATGAACTCAACTGTTTTTTTGCTTGATAGACACATGATAGATGTATGACATAGTTCTGGAAAGCGCACAGATTTTTTGGTAATCCAGTCTAGAGACAGGGTTCTTCTGAAGTGTACTCCAAAAAGCTTTGATTTTGAGAATTTGGGTTTTGTTGAAATGATCCAAGGTCATTCAAGTGACTGAAATTTCAGATGGAAACAAAGAGAAAATATAGATCTTATAGCGATACTTTCCACATAAGC